AGCAGTAATAATCTTATACAAATAGTATAACGCTGAAGAGTCTGTTTGTTTGAACGCGCTGAACTTAGGAACTACTGTTCCGAATTGAAAACTTATTGGGTTGTATTGACGCGAAATAAAGCTTAGATAATTTATTTTTAACTACGTCCCGACTTTTTCCATTTGTGGGACTGCCACGTCGGCTGTAGTCTGCCCAAAACGTCGGGTCGCTTCTGAACTGTTGCATTTGTTTTACTCAATATGTACCTACTATTCGAGTAAAGACAATTCTTAATATAACTTTTTATAATCTGATTCAAACATTACGCATCTACATTTATATTAAAAATGTTTTTTAATAAATATGGCAAGACTGATTGTCTCCCCGTGACCACGGCTGCTGCAAAGCATCCGAAACGTCGGGCTGTAGTTAAAATAATTTTCAAATAAGTTTAACTATTATACATAGCGTTTTAAACCGTTAAATTGTTTTATTTCAATTTACGTAAACTACATATTTAAATGTTTTTTATAAGTATTAGGCAATAATTAATATTCCTCTGAAGGAAAGATGTTTATCTTGCGGCCATGGTTTAAAAATATCGACTAATAATTTTATTGAATGTGGCAATGCGATACGTTATCTTATCAATGATAACGCATGTGTTGTGATTTATGAGGTAAAATGTTCGATAGATGCGGGTTGGCAAAATCATTAAATTAATTAGTACAAAAACGGTTGAAAATTAACTTGAATTCACTGTAACTATACTGTATGTAACCATATAATAATGACTAGCTGTGTCTGCGACTTCGTCCGCGTAGAGTAGTTGGGCATCAAAGTTTGTATTAGCAAACCTCCTCGTCAAAAAATTTGAGTGTTACTAGTACCCACTATGTCGTCCGCGTCCCGTCGTTCTTGCAAGTAAATCTTATCAGACAGTATCGAGTGTCATGAACCGTTTTCGCAGCGTACGCAAGGGAAACCCAGAAGCATGAATAATTTTCCCGTTTTTCCCACTTTTCCCGATGTCTCTTCCCTCCTATTGGTCACAGCAGGATGTTTTATTACAAAAATATTTTTTTCAATTCCTAACAATTCCTGAGATTAGCGCGTAAAAACAAACAAACAAACTCTTCAGCGTTGTATTTTAGTATGCAGTAATAAAAAATATGTTAGAAATAATGATTTGTCTTTATATGACCTAAGAAATGTCCGCCACGTCTATCTTTTATAAATAGCTCCCAAGAACCGATTTTGTGGCAATCAAATTTTTCACATGGCAAAGCCTATGCCAGCCAGTAGATATATTAAAATGTGATACTAGAGTAATATTATATTTTTGTTAGCATTATACATATTCAAGTGAACTTAACACCCCACAGATATACATAAATATTTATAACCTTCGTTCACATCGTCACAGATTATTTTTTATTGCCGAATCTGCACTTTGCTTGTCCATTAGTCGTTTATGTGATGTTGGCATTTTAGCAAATCATATATACCTATATATTTGGTAATATATTATGAGTGTCGTGGTCGTAAATCATTTTTTATTATGTTTGTTATTGGTTATATTTAAGCTAATGGAGACTAGGCATTTAACATACCAGACCTACGACTTTGACCGTTTCCTAAATTATAGTTATTTATATTTTTGTAACTGACAAATAAACCAGATATTTTAATTATATGTCAATTATTTAATATAAATTTATAATGACCATCTCTGTAGCTAAATGGTTGGACGTGTTGTTGAGCATTGCGTTTAGCGTGAGTGGTTCTAGGTTTGAAATCCGGGAAATAACTTTTTATTTCGGGCGGGGTACAGAAGTCTGATCAAATGGCCTGTTAATAAAACAAATCAGTGAAACGGACACAAAATGTGTTCGCCCCGTGCCCTGCGGCGGGACTCGTTATTTCACATCAACACAAAACTTCTGGTTTCAGCCAGGAGGTGTCACCACTGTTTCGCTTAGAAGATGACGTTTCCGTCGGTAGATTATATAATGAAGAATTCCGTCCCGCTTTTCTTTTTTTATGAGAGAGTCGTGTAGTAGAAAATTGAGATAAAAATTAAAGAAATTCATTGAATAAATGGTACGTAATTTCTATTGTGTGTTTATATTTCTACTCTCTTGATATTTCGGTTGCCTGGAAGGATTTGTACTCAGCAATAAGGCCGCCTATTGCGACTCTTTAATTTATTCTTTTTGCATTATTTATAAGTCCTTCTACCTGTTAATTTCCATCTATTTGGAGTTCCTTGTATGTACTTAGTTTTATTCTCAAATTAAAAATTCGATTTTTAATTGAAACATGTAGGACTTCGTCTGGAAATGTCGATGTTAAATGTGTGGTAGGAATATCGTAATTCCGGGGACGAACCACCGTCCACATATGAATAAGCCGTGAAGTTTAATCGCGTTTCGATTTCTGTCCGTGAATTTCCGAATATCTAAAGCCAAAACAGGTCGATAGTGCATCATGTTAGATGCTACTTGTCTGTCTTACTCTATCATTAAAAAAAGGGAACTGTAATATGTGGATAACTATGTTTATTAATATTGCTTACGAAATAATTACTTTCATTTCAATAGCAACGCCGTATCAAAACGTCTAGGTGCCCACGTCTGACTTATACTTATCACCATGATACGGCTAGGAAATGACAAAATTGGACGCAATTTGCGATAAGTTAAATGTGATTTCTTTTATTGTTTTTATCTTTAAATCCTTTTTTCAGTCGATGCCCAGATAGCGGCTCCGCTAGTTGTGATAGTGGCTGTAATAGTTCGCTTTATTTTCATCATCTTATCAATTGATTTGGTAAGCACTTAGTTTTGGGTTTAGACTAAGTAATGTTTAGAGTTGAATCAATATTAGTTACATATAAATTCAGAATATATGCAATTCTTTAGTTATTCCGTATTTAATAAAAAAATAGTTATGGAATTCGGTAGAGTTCTATAACCTATCTATATTTATAAGATACTTATATTCTTTGTTTGTTTTTATTTGTTATTGTTTTTCTTTCGACTTCATTATTCTGATTTTGATTATTTATTTTTATGTTACTTTCTTTCGGGGAAATATCTTTTATTTTAACTATAAAAAGTTACACATGCTATTTTTATATCGTCTTTAAATAAATAACTTTCTGTAGCCTAAATAGTTAAATCTTTATTAACAATACTTACTGGGGTTATTATGATGTCTTGATATATAACCCAATAATAATTTAGAGATTGATAAGGTTAAATCGATGTTATCAACGCGAACTGACATAATCTAATCATAGTAATAATTAATTGTTAATAACGTAAGTACTTATAGGATGATAACAAGTTAATAATTATATCAATAAATAAATTAAGAATGTTGATTAAGTCTATTGAATCATTAGGAATTAAAAAACCGATATGAAACTCAAGAATAAATTTAGCTAGGGATTTATTTTCGTTGGGTCAAATCTTTTTGTCATATTATTAGGTATTTCTGTCGAAACTTTTGTTTTATTTTTGACTATTTCTTAGACATTTTAGTTATGAGTTTTTTAATTGAGAACATTATTTTCGTTCCACAAGTTTTAATGAACAAAATGGAATCTTTCTAAAAAGTAAAAAAATACTGAATTGTTTTATATACTTTTAAAAATACACATACATACATGTATATATTTAAATTCCCTGTCTATATTTTTCGTATCTAATGTACGTATGTATATTTCGAACTGTATGTAGGTATATTTAGAGTCATATATTTTTATGTACTTGCTCTTACATTCGAAGTCGTTTGAGAATTTATACCTATAATCTATTATAGAATATTTGGATATTTTCCAATCCCACAAAGCTTCTTAAAGGATTTACTGTTTACAGGCAAGTAAGAGTTTAAAAGAAGCAGTCCGTTGTGGTTTTTTAAATTAGTATACTTCAACGGCCACTTTTGTAATCCAATGGTTCCCCACTTAATATGAGATGTCCTAAGTTCAAAATCTGGAAAAGCTTGCTACATTACTTGGTTCAGTCGGGCAGTGAAGTCTGAAACTAATTAGTAAATTAAAATTCGATTTTAAATTGAAAAAGTTTATGACACTTGAACCGTCATCCACTGCTCTAAGCAATGGAGCTACTGTGTCCTACACGTCATCGTAGAATTTTTTCAAACTATTGTGTACTGAGGCAATTTCTTGATAATAAAATCGACAAAGACAAAATTGTGTCGAGGACAGTGCATCTCACCGGCAGCTCAAAATCAGTAGAACATCGTAAGCTCGGCAATAAAAATCAAAGTTGGCAAACATTAACCGCTGTGAGTCCTTATCTTGCGTATCAAGTGTTTCATATCAGTTAATCAAATTGGAAGCGCGTTGATACGGCTCGATTATCTTAATCGATTGTTTTTTAGTGTTGCCAGGTTTTTCTTTGAAGTTGCGGTCTTATCTACGGATATGTGGCGCGGATAGGAACGACGTGGTTGGTGTTTTTTTTTATCTGTCCAAGGTTTATTACGAATAAATCGAGAGCAATTTATTTCCTAGTTAAACCATTTTAATAAAACAACAAAACTTCAAATATATTATGTACTTTAACTACGGCCCTACGTTTGTAGCCGTGATCATGAAGTCATGGTTATTATATTTCGTGTTTTAAACCGTTAAAAGTGTTTTATATAAATGACATTTCAACTAGGAAGGAACAAAATTACTCTAGAAGGATAGTAACTAAGAGTTTAAATCGATTTATGTAGGAAGGACATAGGTTATTGTCAAAGATTTCTTTAGCAACATTAATTCATAAATATGGCCGACGAGGCAGAAACGAACTTATAACTAAGGCCACAACTTCGATTCCCTGCCGTGCATATCTTCCATCTATCTTATAGATCCTCTTTGTTCCAGATAAGCGCGGCATGAAGCGACCACCGCGTGCAATCCGTTCGAACTCAAACGCGGATAGTGACTTCTAGTGCGTGTTTATAAAAGCGATGCATGGTTTGTGAGATCGGACCAGTCATGGACATGAGTGGTGAGGGTGGTGGAGCGGGGGCTGCCCTTCAGCAGCGGTGGTACGACAGCCGGGTCAACGGCAGCCCCGCTGCAGCGGAGGTCTCCGAAAATGGCGATTTCTTCCACTCGCCGCTAGAGGGGGGCCATCATAGTCGCGCTCGCTACTATCACCAACAAATGCACACGCCGTACTCCTCTGTTGGATCTCATGGTGAGTTAAAAACCTTACTTGAAATGAAATAAAATGTGTTGTCGACCTATTTTGCCTTTGGATATTCGAAATTACTCATACAGAAATCAAAACGCGAAGAGACTTGATGGCTTTTGAGTACGTTAAATATCTATAGTTTCTAAAAGTATTCATGCAAAAGTACTCGGTACATATAGATACAGTAACTGGTAACGAATTGAGTAATCTATTAAAATGACTGCAACCGGTTACTGATAACTGCAGTACGTGACAATCACAATTCAGTTTGCTAGAGGCAGAGTGGCCTAATAAAATAACATGATTAAATAAGGATGAAAATAAAAATGTGCAATTAACTTAAGCGAAAATAAATCTGTCCTATTATTTGTGTAAAAATTAGTTTAACAATTTTCGGCCACTGTGCTCTTGTAGATTAACATTTTTAGACTATAAAAATATAAATAAGTAGAGTCATAAAGTTGCAGATAGGCTACTCTGCCTCTAGCGGCCTCAATCAAACGTGTCAAACGTGAAACTCTGTCGGTATTTCGAGTAAGGACGGTAGGCGTCTGATTGATAAGATTGCACAATTAATTCCGGCGACCGGAGTCAAAATTGCCATTCTGTCAGCTGACAGCTTAGGTAAACACCGAAAAGGCTTCGACCGTAAAAAAATCGGGCCTTTACGACCGCTATAAAGATTTTTGGGACAGGTGGCTCTCTTATAATTTAACAGCTCGTTTGCGTACACGAAAATTCATATTGGACCGCGTCTTTAGAGTCTAGAGTCGAGTGTGGTCGATGGTTCTTAATTTATCGTGCGGCGCGTCGGTAGTGATGTGACACTCAACTATGTCTTCTCGGAATCGAAACGGTAACGAATCGTATCGTTATTTAACGCACTTTATGTTACTTGCATCTTTGTATCTGTTATCGTGTAACGATGGCTTCTTGGTGATTCGATTATCTCAATCTGGTTAATTCATTTGTTGCGCGGGAGCGATGTTATAAAATTACGTTATTTTATTGTGAGATTTATTTGCCTTACTTGGTGCTTTATTGATATTCATAATGTTGAGCTTTTGATGATTATAAGACTCAAATTTTTTACATACACTGTTTATTTTATCAGCTATCAATAATTAAGTAATATCTTATTTATTGTATCTTACAAATGTTTTGAAAATAAATAAATACACCTTATTTGGTTTAGTTACAACGTAAAAATGTTACCAGTTTATGGCTAAATTTTATTTTACAGAGTCTTACTACACTACTTTTTACTCAATAAAAAGTAATATACGCTACCTTTTTACGTGCCTGCGTGGCTCAGTGGTTAATCGCCTACAACGTCCAAGGTTTGATTCCTGGGGAATGTAAAATTTATCAATTTTTGACAGAAACTTATTTGAATCATACAAAGAAAGAGCGGTTTCACTTTTTTTCACACGTTCCTACTTATAAATAGATGTATAAAGCTAAGTTCATATCGCGACCAAATTAATTGCAACATTTTTAAAACGTCTCGCCAAACAAGTACATAATATATTAATTACTTTATTTTTACTTCTTATCTTGTATAGATTAGTGTTAGACTTTGTAACTTCGCTGATAATGTTCCAAATGTGTAATTATCATATGTTATTAAGCATAAAGTGGGTATGGGGCAGACTTGAATTTAAATATGAATTTAGTTTACGCAAACCTACATAATATTAAATAAAACACAATCGAAGTACCTATAATATACACAGGTGCTAAAGAGCACCTTTGTATTTAAATATAAATTAAAGAATATATTTCACATTTTAAGCCGTTAAAAGTGTTTTATTACATTGTGAATACGGCCAGCCATCGATTTTCGCAGACAATTTCTTCAGAAATTTCCCAGAATTCAAACCCATGATCCAAGTCACTCACACTTACTTTGAATACTCTCTGTAGTGTAGACGAGTAGTACACATTCAAATAAATCACTATTAACGGTTTCAAACGCGAAATGTATTACTTTTTAACCGTTATAAGTGCTTTATTTAAAAATGTATTTATTTCGTTTGACCATTAAGCGTTAAAACGTTACAGCTCTACAATACTTTAATTTTACTAGATTGAAGGTTTTTGAACCTTTTTACGTAACGCCGCGTAACGTGATACGGGTTCGATGCTCGCGCTATAATTTATTTGATGGCGACACGATTGATGACATGAATGAAAGAATTTATTTTATAACTCCACGGCCATTTTGGAATTCTCGAGTTCTCCTTTTAAACTACTTATCTTTGGTAACTAACGTTATGTTGTTGTGTTGGTTCGAATCCAGTATAAAAAAATCTATTGTGATTTTAATTTGAGATGTACCTAGACTACTTAAATGTAGGTATAGACATTTATTATCTAAATTAAGTCAATCCTTAGATATCACAAACGATATATGCTAAGTATGTAGGTATATGTAGACTGATTGATTGTAGATGATAGAATGATTTTTAACTTCGGCCCGACGTTTCGGATGTCTCCCCGTAACCACGGCTGCTGCAGAGCATCCGAAACGTCGACCCGAAGCTAAAAATCGTTTTCAAATAAGTTTAACTAATATATCGCGTTTTAAACCGTCAAAGTGTTTTATTTAAATGTGTACTACTCGCGTAAACTATAGACTTATGTTTCTTAAAATATATGTACTGACTATTTACGGGTTTTAGATCAAAGATGGTCTGATACTTTTGTGCTATCATATCTTTCAATACAAGTCTTTTAATACTTCATGTCTTGCGCATTGTTATGACAAACATGTTAAGTGTGGATAATAGGTATATAAATACCTACTTATAAGGTATATAGAAGTAGCGTGACCTGAATTACCGAATATTTTATATACTTTGCTATTTATGTCCCTTTCACTTCTTATCAACCACATTATCGAATTGATTTTCTATAAAACACTGATAATTTTGACATTGCAATAATTGATGGCGGCTAAAGTGCAAATATAACTTAAATATAGTCTGTGCATTGATTCCTCATCCAAAACTCAGTCTGTAGTTTTCCGAATTACCAAAGCCAAAATATCGACATTGCATATTTAGATTTTATGTTTTGGGGTGTTCACCCGCCATCTAATGCTTTACTATACTCATCTATTGTACAAAAGACTGTTCAGCAAAGCTGATACTAAACCGTACATGAACTGCCAAAATCATTACCCTACTTCCACGCAGTCGGGTAAAAAAACGGGCCGCGCAGATTGGCGCAATTAGTAGCGCGGGGCGTGGCCTGCGCGCGCGCAACGACATCCTCCCAGCACGCACACACCGACGCAAAATAATGATGCCATGAAACTTTAATTATTTCCCCTGAACATTAACAAGAGACGTTGCCAAGTAAATAAATTACGTCTATTCCTAACTTATTAGTATAAATAAATACTTAATTTTAACACGTTGAACCGCTGTAGCTTTTTTTTGACTAATTTATTTTGACTGCTAGGAATTCTTATCTTAAGTGTATACATGTTAATTGTTTGATCTGAGACCTTACATCTTTTTTCCTAAGATAGCGCTGGTATCTTCACGATTTAAAGGCATTTAAAACGTTTTTTTGCAAGCCGTAGTCTGTTAGCTTTACAGCCGGTAGGCATCATATTATTTTAAATTATTATGAAGTTTATTTCAAGTTTTCATGTACTAATTTAGCGTCTAAATATAAATATGGACTAAGATTATTTCTCACTGTTTGTTTAATATAAGCAAAGCATTATTACAACGATATTGTAAAAGAAAACTCAAAATAGTAGGCACGAAACGGGTGTAATCCCTTACGTTAAGCGAGAGAGGTCTTAGGTTCGAATCCCGTAGAAACAATATATACTGTCTATAGTTTACGCGAGTAGTACACATTTAAATAAAACACTTTAACGGTTTAAAACGCGATATATTAGTTAAACTTATTTGATAATTATTTTTATCTCCCCCCGTGACCACGGCTGCTGCAAAGCATCCGAAACGTCGGGCTGAAGTTAAAAATCATTTTCCGATAAGTTTAACTAATATATCGCGTTTTAAAGCGTTAAAGTGTTTTATTTAAAAGAAATGTTGACAGGGTACAAAACTCCGACTAATTTGAAATAAAACAGTGAAACGGATACAGATATGTGTTCGTCCCATGTCCCACAAGGGTAATGGGACGTCACTTAAGGATATATATATATATATATATATTTATACTTATCAATTCAGTCTGGGAGTCTGCTAACGAAATATTCCTCCAAACTTTCCAGACACTGTATGTGTATGAATTTTAGGTAGGTACCTACTCTCTACCTTAGTGTTTACGTCTTTCGGTACATAATCTAACACAAATAAAAAATATAAATAAGTACTTTTTCATAAACAACCTTACATTAGTACTTAATAATATAGAATAACGTTTAAATATCTAACTGTTGTGATAAAATCAGATATTAATAAACGCAAATTGACAGTTTTAAACTGGTTTTAATTATTATTATATACGTTGTTGTAAGGGTCGGAAAGGTAGAAAGAACTCAATGCTTAAAGGTAAATCTCGTTTTGTTTAGTATACTTTATTACTATATATATATAATATGTTCTCTTGTTTACTGAATGAAGATTTTAATAAATACTTTTTCTCAGTAAAATTTACTACAGCCGATCAAACGCTTCTAACAAAGGCTCTATAACATTCTAACACAACGGAATGTCAAATGCGAAAAACCATTAGACATCGTTATAAATATTAAACGAAATTGTTGACGGATAAAATATTTTTTTGCGATTCCGCTCGGTAGTGGAGCGTCAGCATTTTCGAGGTACAAAAAGCGGTCAAGCGCGAGTCGGATTTACGCACGAAGTGTTCTGTATCATTTATGAAATACTATAAACCACTTAAAATGGTTAAAAATTCGAGACATATTTTTAGTAGCATGGCAGGCAGCAGAGCATCTAAAACGTTGCTGTCGGGACGTAGTTAAACCAAATTGTAAATAAGTTATATATTTCGCG